TTTCGCCTGAATACATTAAATTAGTGTATAAGTTCAACCCTTTCCGATACAAATTATTATTAACGAATCAAAATATTCTTTATCTATGATTAATTTATTTTTTATAGAGATAAATTTTGTGATGAATGGATGGTCAGAAAGGGCTAATTAATAAAGTCTGTTCGAGAAATAAATGTTTGCATACTTTTCTGTATTGGTAAAGAAACTGGTGGGTAACGCCGTCAGTGCGTTGTCTTGTAACGTTAAGTGAACGATGTTTAGCGGTTTTCTGGGTGGTGGAAGGGCTTGCAATCTATTGTGGGGTAAGTGAAGAACTTCCAGTCTCGACGGCTGCGTTAGCAGTCTGTCTGGGAGGGCTGTTAAAGCGTTATGAGACGCGAAAAGTGCTCTTAACAAGGGCAGATCCGGCGTCCATTCTGGGAGCGCATCTAAATTATTACTGTGAAATAAATTTATAGAATAAATTTATATCTTCCTTATATTCTTTACACTTCTCATTGTTTTACTTACTAGGAAACGTCTAAGTGTTCGAGGTTCACGGGCACTGGTTCGATAGTTAATTTTTTCAATTCTGCAATAAACGATTCGTGTGAAACAAAGTATAGTTTAAATATTTAAATGATGAATTTGAAAATAGTCTCACTGTTGTTTCCTGCGATAAGAGAAACTAGATTCCTGCCGCAGACAGTCAATTCTGTTAAAATATTTCGTGCACAGCGAACGCTCCTTAATTCGTGAAGCGCACTGATGTCCAATTTCTCAATGCTATTTTCACTGACGTCTAGATGCGTTAAATTCTTGATTAAAGCAGAAATAGAAACGGTACGGATCAATATTCAATTATCTCAATACACCTGTGTACATTCTAATTTCTAATAATACTTTTATTTTTACGAAAGAACACTTACTCCGTAATTTCCAAGTATGATGTTCCCCTTTAATTGATTATTCCGTAAATTGACTTTGTATAAATTATTTTGATTATTTCTTTCATCTTTGCAATTTCTGCTATGCTCTGACCTCGATAATACATCCTAAAATATTGAAAATTTGTCTCTCGAAAAACGTAACATGATTGAATTATTTAAATAATTATTTAAATATCTTTAATAATTTTTTGTATAAGATTATATGCCTGTGCGTACATGTATGTATTTATATAATTATGTTTTGTGCATTATGCATGGATGTGTGTATACATACCATGAATAATACATACATGCACGCAAGTACATAGCTAGCGCGTGGTATAGTGTTTCATGCAGCCACTAGGTGGCTACCGCAAAATCGGAGTTGCTCGAAAGTGAGAACTGACTGAAGAGTGCATATAAGCGTGTTGAATACTATGTTTCGTTACTCTGGTTTCCCTTCAAATCACGCATAAATCTTTCGCCTTTTACTAAAGATTTCCGTGGAGGGGAACAATTGATGAGTCTATAGACCAATTTTTTGTGTGCCCGGCGCAAGCTGGGTCGTAATTACAATTAAAACAAAATTTCCAGAATGTTCATTATTTATAATGTAAGCAGGACAAAATTTGATGTAGGTTTACGCTATTTTAATAAAATAGCCTTTGAGAGAATTTGAGAGAACATGAATTATATTGATATTAATTATCAGAAGTGCATCGAATGCATTCGTTGTTATTTTTATTCGATAATTTATAAGCATCACGTTTCTCTCCTGTCGAATGCAGTATCTAATAATATTCAATAAATTTTCAATTTTTCATTCATGTTACAATTAAATAATTTTCGTTTGATTGAATAAAACATTTGCAGATAAGGAAGTTTCTAGGTATTGCGTGAAAAGAAATCAGATTTCTAGAGCGTGTTTTTTCGACCCTATATTTTTTCCTGGAATTAATTAATCGGAATAATTACCCGATTTGTAAGATAGTACGATTTTTTTATAACGCGGCACGGTTTGCCTTACATGTTGACTTACACCGTTCATCGTAACGGTACTTCCGCATGAATTTCGAATTACAAAACGCATTAATAATTTATTTCGCGAAATGCAATCTGGTACGTACCGTTAACGCGAGGGCTCGCATGTTGAACAGAGACGGCAGACTGGTCAGGCAATTTCCAGCCAACGAAATGTTTCGCAAGTTTTTCAACTCCGCGAGCTCAGGTGGCAACTCCCTGATTCCATTACGATCCAAAATCAGCTCTTGCAGGCTGTAAAACAATGTTCTGTATTTACTTTTGATTCTACTAGGGCCATAATACTTTGAATTAGAGTTATAAATTGATTTGTAAGGTCATAGTACTGATTATTTCTATCCGTGAAGCTACATGATCATTAATTGAATTTCGTCATACATAATAGTGATACACGTTTTAACGATAAACGCTTGCGAAGCATTAGAAACTACGTACTCGTTTTATCTCCAAATATATCTACGATTATTTAATCATGTTCCTTTACCAAAAAATTGTAAATTAACATTTATGTATAATCATGTACATGCAAACTGTATTTGCAAAAACATGTATATGAATATCACTAGATCTATTTATAAGTGTAATAGCCAATTCAACCAATTCCCATTATTTTCTCATTAGCAAGCAATGCATAATTTCCGGTTCCCAATTTGATCACAATAAATGCAGAATTAGCATGAACTGTTAAAACGATTCGATGTCAATGCACGTTGCACCCTCATTGCACGGACAAACGAATCGGTGAACCTAAACGAACGGACCGCCCACAGGATGTGCACTTGAGTAGAAAGTTTCAAATTATGGTGAAAACCTTCCTGGCAGTAAGCATCTGTGTCATGGGATAGACTTTCAGTTTTTAAAGTAAAATCGAAAACGTTAATGTTTTGACAATGCATTTGTATTTATAAAAATTCAACTACAATT